AGTGAACTGAGAAAATGAGTGACTTAAGTTTCCAATTTAAATGTTTTTAGTCAAAGGGGCCCCTGGGCTAACAGTTTTCTTTTGCAAAAATGTCAGATCTTAAATCAGTAGCTTCAAAGAATATGCTCTGCATAGTCTACACTACCCAGGAAGAGCAATCTGTAAATGAACCATGTTGCTGGATATGAACTTCAAATGATGATGATGATGATGATGATGATGTAAGGGCCAAGTGAGAATCTTTTTATTTCTGCAATGTGTCAATTTTTACCCAAGAATCTGTACTTATTCCTGATAGTAGGACAGCAGCTCTCTCCAATGTTCAAAACAGTCTCAATGCTCTTCTCTTGATTTTTCAATGGTGTGAACATATCTGTAAACATCTGTTCCATTTTTCTTCCCCAGAAGAGAACTCAAAATGTGCAGAGACCTTTAACCCCTTACTTTAGTCAGAAAATGGCCCTCTTTTCATGTTCATCTCAACTTTCCCAAGAAAAAAATCTAGAGAGCAAAAAGACCTTTATAATAGCCTTTGTTATGGCTATAATGAATGAGTAACAACTTTGTATCCCCAGAATTCATCCTGGATGGTTAATTGGTGCTATTTTTGTCCACCTGCCCACAAAGCGCTTGCCACCATCTCTGCCCTTCCCTCTTCTTCTGAGTGAACACAGCCAAAATATGTGTGTGGGATTGAGTTTTGAAGCTGAAATCCAATTTATGTCAGACGGATTACAGAGGTTTCTTTTCTTCTCTAGTCCCTGAGCATCCAACATTAGCTTGTTAAAGGAAGCATTTTCTCCAGGATCTACCATGCATTTGCTGTCATTCAGTCTCATTTTTTTGCACATGATTTAGAAAAGGTCAGACATCATGCTCAGAGACAAAGGTGCCAGGCTGGGAAAGCGATAGCTCACAGATCATTTAAGGATTTAATCCATGTAATTCACACAGGAGAGAAATCTACAAGGTAGCTGTAGGGTTTAATTTCTGATTGTGCAGCATGCACAAAAGCCAAAGAGTGGGAAGGCAGACATGCTCTGATTAGGCAGCATTTTAACATTTCCTTTGCCTGAATGAGGAAAAGAAGCATAGGGGAATCAAAGGCCAACATCTCACAGGCTCAGACAAATTCATGGAGGAGAGGGCTATTGATGACTACTACCCATGAGGGCTATGCTCTGCCTCCAAAGTTGGAGGCAGCAGTGCTTCTGAATACCAATTGCTGGAAACCACAAGACGGGAGAGTGTTTTCGTGCTTGAATCCTGCATGCTGGTTTTCCACGGGCATCTGGTTGGTCCCTGTGGGAACAGGACGCTAGACTAGATGGGCCATGGGCCTGATCCAGCAGGCTGTACTCTATATTCTTACATGCTACAATGAGGCAAATTTAAGCTCAGGATTTATTTGTTTACATGGACAGAAATACACACACACCCTACCTCTAGCATGACCACAGCTAGGATTTAGTTTCACAAAGGGCACAGAACATGGTCCAGTGATGCATCTCACAGTACAGTTGGATTGGGATCCGGTCAAGCACCATATTTCCTTCTGAGCTTCTTCTTTTTCTTCTTTGGTGATCACTCGTAGCCAAGTAAGATTGTCTTCCATAAACACGGTTTTAACAATGAGTCCGTAAGTGACTGTGGAGGCCAGTTCTGGATCCACACGTCCTTCCACAGTGGGAACATTGGTTTCCGAGTAGGAGTTGATCACGGTGTGGATTTGCCAAGCGTGCCTTCCTCTTAGCACGTTTCTCCCTTGTGTCCTGAGTTTGCGTTTCTTCAAAGCCCATGACACCTTTGGTAAAGGCTGTTCTCCAATTGGAGCGCTCACAGGCAAGTGTTTCCCAATTGTTGGTGTTTATACCACATTTTTAAAGATTTGCCTTGAGACAGTCTTTAAACCTCTTTTGTTGACCACCAGCATTATGCTTCCCATTTTTAAGTTCAGAATAGAGTAGTTGCTTTGGAAGACAATAATCTGGCATCCAAACAACATGACCAGTCCAACGAAGTTGATGTTGCAGAATCATTGCTTCAATACTGGTGATCTTTGCTTCTTCCAGTATACTGGTATTCTGAGCAACATTCTGAGGGTTATATGCTAGGGGTGGGTGAGGCCACAGTCAAAAGTGGGCAGAGCAACAAATATAACTTTTACCTTTATACAACAGGTTGGTTTCTACTTGTACACTCTGTTATGCATTCAGTGGTCTGTGTTTGCCCGAGCTTGAGTCTGGACTAAGGATTCTGAGCCCCCGTGTTCTAATTCGATACATGATATCCAGTCACAGAACATTTCAGGACTTGGGCCTCTGCCATTGGCCCTTAAACTCTGAGTCATGATTCACAGCTTGGACGCTTAGACAACCAATCATGTTGGGGGTGGGAGTGGCCCAGGCCTTCAGAAATGTATATCAGCAGTTGCTTTGCCCCTGTCGCCCAGTTTTGTTAGTTAAATAAAGGTTCTTGCTGTTATCACTGTGTCCTGCCTGATGGGAGCCCATCTACACTTCACACTCGCATGGCTTTCCTCTTGCAAGAGGCAATAAGGCAAGGTTACCAGAGAGCCAGTGTGGTGTAGTGGTTAAGAGCAGTAGACTCGTAATCTGGGGAACGGGGTTGGTGTCCCCGCTCCTCCACATGCAGCTGCTGGGTGACCTTGGGTTACTCACACTTCTCTGAAGTCTCTCAGCCCCACTCACCTCACAGGGTGTTTGTTGTGGGGGAGGAAGGGAAAGGAGAATGTTAGCCACTTTGAGACTCCTTCGGGTAGTGATAAAGCTGGATATCAAATCCAAACTCCCCTCCTCCTCCTCCTCCTCCTCCTCCTTCTTCTTCTTCTTCTTCTTCTTCTCTGATATTGAACTCAGGTGGTGAGTGCTGATAAATATGTAGGGTGAAAGAAACAAGAGGGAGATATCAGCAAGCTGGTGAGAACTCCAGGGTGTGCAGAACCATAAAAAGACACCTTAAGTAACAGACAGTGAGCATGCTCAGTAGCTAGAGAACATTGAGTATCATTAGGGATGCTGGAAAAGAGGGGTGGTGGAATGGAGTGCTCGGGAGAAGGGCACAGTTGGCTGGAAGGAACTCTCAACAGAAATACCCCTATCAAGGGGTGAAGGTAACACTGCGACATTTTGCTGCAGTTCCCAGTTGTCTAATTTATACTCATTCCAGTCCTGTGACCCTTTTAGGCTGAGATAAGGGCTTTTATACTGGATAGCTCAGTTAGTTAGAGCATGGTGCTGATAACACCAAGGTTGCAGGATCGATCTCCATATGGGACAGCTGCATATTTAGGGCTGCCATACGTCCAGAATTTCCTGGTCACAGCCGGGATCCGGCAGTGGAAACCAGTGTCCAGGGGGAACTCTGGACGTATGGGTGTTGAGATTTCCATTCCACCTTAAGGAACAGACATGTGGAATTGTTGCGTGTCACATGTCTGTTTACATTCCAGCACAGTATGCTGGGAACTTCCGTTGTGTATAGCTTTTGTTTTTTCCCATTCTCTCTGAGATGACACAAGAGACAGACGACATGTTTCTTTGTCCTGATTTATGATTAATAAATCTGTAGTTGTAGTATGCTTCCACAAGCCTCACGCCTATTCTGTGTGCATAGTTCTCTCTGCTGATAGCGTGCCCTGGCTTTGAAGCCCGGGTCACTGATTTATGTCAGAGCACGGACCGATGGAAGGAGACGGCACAGCTGGGGCTTCCCAACTGGCCTCCTGGCCCTCTGCATATCGACAATGGGAACCCATGTTGGACGTGTAGTTTTTGGTGAATTTCCTTGAAAATAGCTCAAAACTAAAAGAAACCTCAACAACTTTGGGGAGGGGGGAAGCTTTGTGCCCAGATTTTCACTTTCTGAAATATGGCAACCCTAGATGATCCTCAGGGTCCCTTCCAACTCTATGATTCTATATCATGACTAAGTGGGATTTGGAACTTGGGGCCATATCTCCCATGCCTAAATCATACCCTTAGGGTGGCCTGTTTTAGCCATTTCAAACAGTTGCATCTTGGTCTGAAATGGCTGGGTTCACCTATGCAGTTGTTCTCATTCCCTTTTTTTAATTTTGAGAAATGTTCTCTGTAAACGTCTGCTGCTGCTTGTTCTGAAATAGCTCCTGTGAAAGGGATTCATGTCTTTTGGTGTGCAATGGTAATTGTACATATTCTCAACTGCTGCTTCACCACAATTGTTAGGTATTTAAAACCAGATTTTTTTTAAAAAAACTATTGTAAGAGATAATTTTGTCTTGGGTTTTCTTCTTTCACTGTCTGTTTCTTTCTCATGAATTACCTCAGGTCACAAAGAAGTTGGTTTTATGCAACTCTTTTTATATCCGAGTTTCTAAAGCAGAGCAGTAAGCTGGAAGCAGGCCAAAGAGCATCTGTGAATAAAATACCCCACTTAACCTTGGTGAAATCTTAATTTCATGGGGCGACTGGCCAGGAATGAAACCTTGGAGCCACAGTGAATAGCTTGATGAAGATGAAGATCCACTGTGCAGCACCTGTGAAAAAGGCAAATTCTACAATCAGGAAGGGAATTGAAAATACAACTGCCAATGTCATACTGCCATTATACAATCTAATGGTGTGACTGCACTTGGAATATTGTATACAGTTTGGTCGCTTCACCTCAAAAAGGCTGTTATAGAGCTGGAAAATGTTCAGGAAATGGAAACTAAAAGGACCAGGCGGATGGAGCAGCTCCTTTATGAGGAAAGGGTACATTTGGAGCTTTTTAATTTACAGGAAGAGTCAGCAAGAGAATACGTTATAGATGAGTACAAAACTCTGCATTGTGTGGAGAAAATGGATGAGGAAAAGTTTTTCTCCCTCTCACAAAACACTACAGCTCAGGGGATGTTGGAAGATACAGTGCAGACAAAATCATAGAACCTTGGAATTGTAGAGTTGGAAGAGATTCCAAGGAAAATCTACTCCAACCCCCCCTGGAATGCAGGAATCTTTTGTCCAATGTGGGGCTCAAATCCACAATCCTGAGATTAAGAGTTTTATGCTCTACCAACTAAGCTATCCCAGAAGTTTATAGTATGTATTTTAAAGTACACAGTGCAACTATGGAAATTGTGACAGTCACCATCTTGGTGAACATTGTTAAATAACAATCCCCATTGTTGTTTTGAAAAAATGTTTAACAGGGCCAGTTTCGGAGAAAGGGCAATTTCTGATCACTGTGAAAGACAACTGAAAAGTTATCCCTTGGCATCAGAGTTAATACTGTCTATCTATTGTGCTTGCAATGATCCCTTCTAGGCATCATAATAACATCGGTGTGGTGTAGTGGTTAAGAGCGCTAGTCTCGTAATCTGGTGAACCGGGTTCATGTCCCTGCTCCTCCACATGCAGCTGCTGGGTGACATTGGGCCAGTCACACTTCTTTGAAATCTCTCAGCCTCACTCACCTTACAGAGTGTTTGTTGTGGGGGAGGAAGAGAAAGGAGAATGTTAGCCGCTTTGAGACTCCTTAGGGTAGTGATAAAGCGGGATATCAAATCTAAACTCTTCATCATCATCATCATCATCATAATGTGTGCAGAAGAGGGCAACCAAGATGATCATGGGTCTGGAAACAAAGCCTTATGAGGAACAGTTGAAGGAGCTGGGTATGTTTAGCCTGGAAAAGAGGAGAGTGAGAGGAGATATGATAGCCATCTTCTAATATCTCAAGAGCTGTCACATGGAAGAGGGAGCTTGCTTGTTTTCTCCTGCTCTTGAGGGTAGGACTTGAGACAATGGCTTCAAGTTACAAGAAAGGAAACAAAACATTCAGAAAAACTTTCTGACAGTAAGAGCTGTTCACCACGGGAGGTGGTTCACTCTCCCTCCTTGGAGGTTTTTAAGCAGAGGTTGGATGGCCACCTGTCATTGATGCTTTAGCTGAGATTCCTGAATTGCAGGGGGTTGGACTAGATGAGCCTTGGGGTCCCTTCTATGATCTATTTCTAACTGAAAGTCAAGATGCCTACAGCACGCCTTGCACTGGATACCTATGGAGCACTCCAGTGGAATTTCTTCTAATAATACATCCACATCCATTGCACTTGTGTATCTTCAGAAGTAGGAGGTGCAATAATGGATGGCTTGTTTCTCTTTTGGCAGCACAAAATGTTCCTCTGGGCTTCAAGGGCCTTGGAATCCAATTTCCACAGGACTAGCTGTGCTAGTAGTTTGCAGATACTACAAAGAATCTTGTGGCACCTTACAGATTAACAAGTTTATCCTGGCATAAGCTTTAGTGAAATGTAAAACCTTCAACAGTAGAGGAGATAAGTCAGCACTCCACACAGAACAACAGCTTTCCTTAAGGCTGAAGAATGTATGTGTGCGTGTGTGTGCTCCACTTCCTGAACACCCAGAATGGAATGGCAAGGCATGTTTTAGAATGTAGACTTCTGTAAAAGCCCCTCCACTTTCCTGGTTGTCACATTGAGAGCTCTTCAATTCCATAAACTGGCTGTGACTCCCCTCTGGATCAAAGCTCTTTATTTAACAGTTCACAAGTGGGATCTGCAAGGAAATTTTGTTATGTGGAATGCACTGCTTTCCAGTCAGTCAACCACACAGTCTTCCAGAATACGCCATTGCATTTTCCCTCCTCTGTCTGCTCTCTCTTCACCCTTCAACATGCAGCCAGCATTCTATACCCACTGAACGTGTCCACTTCTCATTGGGCTATTTCCCCCCATTAGGCTCTTCTTTTTCCTGAAGAGTTTTGGAGCTTTTGAAAACTTTGTAATCCCTTCAAGTCTGCTGATACCCCACATTTGCTTGCGCATTAATGGTATTCTCTTTGGCTACATAAGGATCTCCATTCCTGGAGAGTGAATTTCCCATTACTGCCCTTCCAGATGACCCGTTTATTGAGCTTTCATCCTGGTTTGCTTGCACAAAAGTTGCCTGGAGGTTACATTATATCCTGTCTTTATTGAGCATTTTACATGATTTGGTTGTGGGGCAGTTACAAGGCAATGGGCATTGCCCTGCCTTTATCCTTATTTGCTTGTTGGATGCTTAAAATGTCTTCATAGTCAATCATTCGTTTATCCCACACTTTTCAGTGCACCCCCATCACTTTCCAACTTGCAAGAAGTCTGGTTTTTGTTTTTTTTTAAATAACTTGGATGTGTTGTGTTAGGGCAACAGAGCCCTTTGATCCATGTTCAACGTACAAACCTTTAAGTTCTGATGGAATTGCTTGAACCCCTGCCACAAAACCGTGGCAGTCTGGAGACATTCTTAGAATACACGATTGTGGCACGATGCACCCAGAGAACGAAACTAAGCAGCCTTTTGAAGCTGCCTGGCCATTACCAGGGCACTATTAATTCTGCACATAAAAAGCAACAACCCACAACCTGATTGTAGTAAAACATATACTTCATAGAAATAATAGCAGCATGCAAACTGTGCTTATGGTAAACAGAAAGGAAATTGATCTTACTTCTGTTTTATTGGCTGCTATATAAAAAAAAATATTGGTGGAAATGGTTAAATAAGGTCCAGAGCATAGTGGGGATCTTAAATTGGATGTGCACTATTAAATTCAGACAAAGATGAATCATGATAATAGATAATTGCATTGAATGAGTTTGCAATATGTTGAAATTTGCAATATACTTAATGGAAATAGTTATATTAGGAAGAAATTTGTGTGGAGATTCTATTTTGATTAATAGTAATGCAAAATGGTAAATTGTAAAAATAACTGGGAGGAATTCAGCGTTGTGCTGAAACAAACATCCTGTCAGAGCAAGGGTTTTTGCTTCTCTGATGAAATCACCTCCCTTTTCTTCCCCCCATGCACTGTTCTCCTTGATTGGGGGGGGCAGGTGGTAGAGAGGGGTAGAAAGGCCCCATTGTGCTAGTGGAGCCTTTGTACTAGCTCCCACTAGCAGACCTACTTAACTGAATCCAGCCATAGTAAAAAAAAATTAAATTAAAAAAGAAGAAGGATGAAATGTTCAACCTTCAATTTGTAAGTAAGATTCATTATACAAAAACATGAAAATTTACTAGTTTGCTTAAAATGCAAGGTATGGCCTGATTTACAATTATTTGAGAGCTTATATTGGCGAAATGTGCGTGAGAGACTTTGGTTTTATTAGGTAGAATGGGAAAATGGGATTCATGAAACTGCAGGGAAAACCATAATGGTGTGAATGGTATTCTAGAAAATTGCAACAGACCCAACCCCTCTAGATTTGAAGCCTTCAGATAGTAGCTCATACTTCATGGTGAGCAAAAAGTCATCTGGTGAAAATAGATGTTCTCAGTATTTTTACCTCAGATTCTGAATAAACGGTCAAATCCCATTATTTTGGATGTAGTCATTCATCTAGATTTCCTGCTAACAGCTGCACATTAAGTTGCACATCCTCGTGTGTGATGGAACTGAAATGTTACAGCAATTTCCTTTCCTTTCCTATTGCAATCCATCAGGAAGATGTAGCATTGGGTTAGGTGTGCTTCTGTATATTGTATATGGTATATACAGTAGTGTACTCGGCATCTGGGTCATAGGCAGCCGCATTATTAATAGAGACTTTCACAGCATGCAATGTTTCCTTACAGAGACTGGCTGCGCACCAAGAGGACAGTTTGTTTGTGCTCTTTTTTCTTACACACCATCTGCAGCATGAGATTTCATTTTTTGTTTAAATTATGTGCACAAAATCCAGTTAAGATAACTCCTGCTGCAGCGTCAAAGATAGGAAATAAATAAATGATGGCAAATGCTTATCATAATGTGATTGAGAGGCTCTATTCCAGCCCTGTATGATTGTTCTGTGTTAGAACCAAGGGAATGGTTATGAGAATGTTGGCTGTTGGTTAAGAAGAATGAGATGTTTTTACAGGAGGGGCTAGAGAAAGGGAGATGGTTCCACAAAGGCTTGCAGAAGGAGATACCCTTACAGATACTTGTATAATTATGTTGGCAGATATATTCAAAATTTGACACTGAAGGATTGAGCAACTATGGTTAATGAAAACAACAGAGTCTTGTGACATCTTAAAGGCTAAATATTTATTATGGCATAAGCTTGTTAGTCTTTAAGATTCCACAAGACCCTTTGTTGATTTTGATGCAAGAGACTAACAAGGCTACCTTTCTGGATATGCTTTATCGTTGACTTGATAAAACAATATACAAAGTATAAAAGGGTTTGAACAGAGCTCACAATGTGATAGCATAGCACAGAGTAGCCAAAAAGCACCACTTGATGAAATACTGTTTACAATTAATAAGAGCTCAAACTGCAAACTATAGGGCAGGCTTAAAACCTGAAGACTGCTGAGACAGAAGGCCATGAGAGTTCAACATATAACCTGTAAAAATACAGAGGCTGACGGCTTGCTTGTCACTTAGCCCCTTCATGGAATCTTCATCCCTTTCTGTTAAAATGTCAGCATTCTGTCTAAAACACTTCACAGACAGATGTACGTATGCAGGCAGGCACAACACATATGCCAAGAGCTTCTAATTTGTTCGCAAAGGGCATTCTGCAATTAAACACTTTTAAAACTTGAAAGCCAGAATACCAAGTATCTTCAGGAGACCTTTTGCATAAATTCACTTTACTTTCTTAAGGATCAAACACTTCCAGGGGTTTCTGGTCCTTTTGCAAACTGAATATTGTGGTTCTCAATCACAAGTTTTAAACCACTGGTAGGGATAGATTAATCTTCTCCCTTTTTAGCCCTTTTAAAGTTGTGAATTGTATTTCATCAGCTGCTGCTTTCCAGCTGCTAGGTTAGCATTCTGCACCCCCTTTCATGGGCATTAACCTTTTCCATAATAACACCTCCCTAATGTGCTAGTTTTCTGTGTGGAAGGAAATGCTTTCTTCGAAAGAACATTGGATCACATGAGTCCCCATCTGTGATCTGAAGTTGTCCAGCTCAAGCCCAGATTTTTCTGCCTGGGTGGAGACTACACCAAAGTGTCAGCTCCTTCTTTAAATGACCTCGCTCTGAAATGGATGCAGTCACAAAGTGGTTGCAGAATTGCTGTTAAACGGTG